CGCCGTCCCACGCCAGGCCCCAGACGGCGTCGGCGTGACCCTCCAGGAGCGCCCGCAGCACCCGCGGGTCTGCCGCGCGCCACACGCGTGTCACCAGCGCGGGGACACGGCGGGGACACGCCACAGACGCGGGGACACGGCGGGGACACGCCACAGACGCGTCACGGACACGGGGACATGGCGGGGACACGGGGACAGACACGTCAGGGACACAGGGACACGTCGGGGACACGGGGACATGGGGACAGACACGTCAGGGACACAGGGACACAGGACAGACGTGTCACGGACACGCGACAGACGCATCAGGGACACGGGGACATGTCAGGGATACGGGGACACGTCAGGGACACGGGGACACGTTGGGGACACAGGGACAGACGCGTCAGGGACACGGGGACATGGGACAGACACATCATGGACACGGAGACACGTCAGGGACACGGGGACAGACACGTCAGGGACACAGGGACACATCGGGGACACGCGACAGACGCGTCAGGGACACGGGGACACGTCAGGGACACGGGGACAGACACGTCAGGGACACGGGGACAGACACATCAGGGACATGGGGACATGGGACAGACACATCAGGGACATGCAACAGACACATCAGAGACACGAGGACACGGGACAGACATGTCAGGGACACAGGGACACGTCAGGGACACACGACAGACGCGTCAGGGACACGGGGACACGTCAGGGACATGGGGACACAGCAGGGACATGCGACAGACGTGTCAGGGACACGGGGACACGTCAGGGACACAGGGACACGGCAGGGACACGGGGACAGATACGTCACGGACACGGGGACACGGGGACTTTGGGGACATTGGGGGGATTGGGGACATTGGGGGACATTTTGGGACATTTGGGGACATTTGGGGACATTTGGGGGGCATTGCAGCAATGGGGAACATCTGGGGACATTGCCACCACAGCCCCAATCCCCCCAGAGTCCCCAACCCTCCTCCAGTGTCCCCAGTGTCCCCAAT